TTTTGTATGGCCAAGTATGAATCGGGATATTCGTAATTGGACGCAAGCGTGTATAAAATGCCAGAGAGTTAAGATACATCGCCACACCAGTTCCGCAGTAGGTCATTTCCGTCATCCCGATAACAGATTCGAGCACGTACATATCGATATTATAGGACCTCTGCCGGTTTCGAATGGCTTCAGTTACATTTTCACTTGCATTGATAGATTCACACGATGGCCTGTAGCTGTGCCCATAAAAGATATTACAGCCGAAACTATCGCAAAAACCCTAGTAGAGCATTGGATTTCCCATTATGGTGTACCTACTAATATTACAACCGATAGAGGAGCTCAATTCGAGAGCCGCCTCTTCCAACAACTCACAGAACTACTCGGAATCAAACGAATTCGCACAACATCCTACCATCCGATGTCGAATGGTATGGTAGAGAGATTGCATCGGCAACTTAAAGCTTCTCTTACAGCTGTCATCAGCAATAACGATTGGGCCAGCAAGCTACCGTTAGTCATGTTGAGCTTAAGATCAACAATCAAACAAGATATAGAATGCTGCCCAGCAGAATTGGTTTATGGAACCACACTACGTCTGCCAGGAGAGTTTTTCACCGCAAGTAAAAGGGTCCAGACTGATATAGCGGACTATGTACAGCGTCTTAAGCAGCATATGAGTAGTCTAAGGATAACGCTTCCGAGACAACATCAACGCCGTGTGTACATACCCAAACAACTAAGTGACAGTACCCATGTGTTTATAAGAAGGGATAATGTGCAACGTCCCTTACAACCGGCCTACGATGGTCCATTTAAGGTGATTAAAAGAGACGACAAAACTATTACGGTAGACAAAGCTGGAAAAACGGATGTAATTAGCATCGACCGAGTCAAACCAGCTTTCATCGAAGCCTACGATCAGCCAGTACATACAGATACTGCGAAAACCGTTGAATCATCGAAACTTCAGTTCCAATCATCAACGACATCGACGAACACAAACAAAGAGAATCCAGTAACGACAAGGTCTGGTCGAAGAGTAAGATGGCCCCAACGTTATGTCGCTGCAATCTTCTATTAATAATCTTCTACTATTTTAAATATTAATTATAACTTCCACTTCATTGTACACACATGCATTACTAATTTCATGTTTTACGCTATAAAACTCAACATATCCTATGTACCCCTACACTTAAACGTATAATTTTTATTTAAAATGTAAAGCAATACCGCATTCCTTCTATTTATTGCTATTATTTTTTATAACCTCACGGACAGGCGCAAACCAAATGTACAGCACACACCAACTTCATCTTAATTTTGTACAAACTATTTTTTTTCAAACGATTGTAACTACCTTACTCAGTTTAGTAATTTTTTGTGCAAACACAGACATTTTTCCATATATCTTTGTTTGCAGGGGGGAGCTATTATAGTGACTCACGTGCAATTGAGTTTAGTTCAGTCAAGGCCTTTTGTTGACCTATTTAGTGGACAAAGTCATCCATGATATAACAACTTGTTGTACTGTCTTTATTATTATGCTTGTATGAAATACATATGCTTGAACATTGTTTAGCGCCTACGCATGTATTCATTCTGCTAGCTTCATTATTAACTGCTTAGTCTATTCGCTGACTCATCCATTTTCCTATATATATATATATGTGTACATTTGCACCTACTACTACTACTACAACTACTTGCTACTGCTACAATCGTAGTTCGCTTGCTCATTCATTTTGCCTCTCTGCTGTCTGGTCCGAATTATCTACTAAATAAACTGTAGTAGCTGCTTCTTTTTGCCTTCTGATTTCAAACATCGCTGAAGATTATACGATAACGGTTCGAGGGTGATTAATTATCGAAGCACAGCCACTACATGTTGTTTACATTGTTAAACAATTCTTCTAAACCATCTCGTTTATTAATAATAAAAATGTCATCTACATACCGTAACCAGACCTTAGGTGGATATACACTTCTTGCGATTGAACTGGTTTCTAGGGAATGCATGAATAAATTCACTGCAATCGGAGAAACTGGTGAACCCGTTGTTGTACTCTTCTTTTCTGCAAAGGTCTCCTTGAAATATGAATAAGGCGGATCTTAAACATACTTCCAAACATTTGATAACCTCAGATAGATCTAATGGGCAACGTAAATTCAAATCTGAATCAGATTCTAAACAATCATATATAATATCCAAAGCTCTATTGATAAGTACATTAGTGAATAAGGAAGATATATAAAAACTTGCCACTATTTCATCCTCTTCTATATCGATATAGACTGTTTATATATACTGCTTACTACCTGTTCTATTTGTGAATTTTTCCTGTCTATGTATTCCGCATCTCGATTTATTGCTAACTATAAGGAGAGATGAATTCCTATGAGGTTTACGCCTGAAGAGAAAGTGGAGCGGGAAACTAACTACTAAAGATGGATGACATCAAACAGACTAGGAAATCCTATAGACTCATTATACTAACTAACACGAAACTTCAGTGGTACATTGAGTGAGAAATTGATTTCGTCAGAGAAAGTTTCACTAGAACCTACTGTAGTATTTTATTTTCCTTCTCATCACCACCCATCTGTATGTTCTTCACAAAGTAAAACTATTTCGAATCAATTCATATTGCATAGATTTGATAAAGCTGATTTTGATCCAGAAGCAGTTTTCCTAGATTTATCAGTCTGTCAGAGATTACGAGATACGGTTTGTTACATTCTCGTTGCCTATCACTTATACTTGGAGAAAGAGGAACCACTACTATTCACACGCCGCAAAATAGGAACGAAACCGACTGGGACGAGTGAAGATGCACCCACTTGAAAACACGACAAACAAAGTCGGAAATGCCCTCACTAGCATATTGATTTGTAAATCCGTCAGATTGATTACAAAATAGCCACATATGAAAAATGCCCAGAGTCATGACAAATACTACACCGACTAATCACCATACTAAATTAGAAACAGAACTAGTGTTGAATAGAAATCACAATGAGTGGGAAATGTAATTTTGTCTTCTCATGCCGTCATATCACGGCTCGCACATATTTTATACACAATAAACACTTTCTTCGCGTTTTTCGATTGTAGAATCAAATGAAAGATGTCTTGCACCAAAGTACAGAAAATTTTCTATATTCTAGCTGATAATTCATAACTCACACACACCTAAACTGCCTTCATATATTTCAACGAGAATTCATTTATTAAAACCGAGAACTTCCTTAAACAATAATAGAGCAAGACTAAACCTCAAACTGACTGTCCTTAGATCTTTGCGAAACGCAGTACCTCAAGAATCAGCGCTTGTATAAATGCTATCTCATGTGTATGTATATATATACGAAAACCACATGAGTTTTTATTCAGGAAATGAGACTTGCAATATATGCAGTTTAAATATCTATTTACCAAAAGAACTTCCGATAGGAAAGATAATTTATCTCCTAATATTGGATATTCCAAATTCATACGCAAACCGTAATACAATAAATTTCGTTCTAAGCTCATACCAAAAACTTCGAAATAGACATAGAAGGTCGCATCAGATTTTATCAATTTTCCAAGTTCTTACTTTGAGTTTGTGAGCAATTTATTTTCTTACATTTCCAAGGAACGAGTTGGTCCTTATGGCCTTTATTCGTTCAAACTAATTATTCTTTTACAAGGATGCACAAACTAATTGATCGAAAGCTTTCCGTACTCCATATTTTAGTTCAGAAATCGTCGAAAATGTGAGAAGTTAACATGTATTCACAACCGAATTTCACAACTGCGGAGAGTCGCATTCTTCACAAAGAGTGGAATTCTGGACAATAAATGCTTTTAATAACACAAGTAGGTATCTACATGAATTTCGTCAGATTCCATCTTTTATCTAGTGATTGTACATTTGGAGCCAATCCTCTGTCCATTTCAAGCAGTACCAAATTATTTCAAATCCTGGATCATACGCAATGCTCAATATTGACAAGATGGAGCTTCCACTTGCACGGTTATAAGCTTTGAATTTAATAATACCTGAGCACAGAGACCAATCGATCCCTTGAAATGACTTCACAGTGGTAATGGACTGTATTTACCCTTAATGAAAATATTTTCCAGGTGATACAAATTCAGTTGACGCAATAACTCTGGAATTAAATATTTTTCAATAGGTGAGGTTAGTTTGGTCTTTATAAAAACCAGTCAGAAGCACCAATTCTCAAAAGATAATATACAGCTGACATCCATATTGCTTTCCTTAACAGTTTATTCCAACAATTTCAACAAGAGATATAAACTCATATCCGTAGAATTGTCATTAACTATTGAATGGGATTGTTAGTCTATCACGGTTTTTAGTGACTTCACAACCACGTACATGTACAAGTTTTTAGTTCGATATGACATGGTCACTAACTAGCATTTATATACGTTTCACATTTGGATGTCTCTCTTGCAATCATTTAGCATGGAATAACGTTTAACTCATTTCTTGTTGGAATTATAGTAACTTTAAAACAGTACAAATCTTCACTTTGTAATTACATCATTTACTCAAATGCATGGTTTTTGTGCGGTCATTCCACGACATAGAATCTAATCTATGCCTACCATCATGTGTGCAGTCATTTTGCTTTTCACTTTTACAGAGCTTTACATGACATCACTATGAATTTCAAAATCAAACTAACTATCCACTGAAACGGAACACACTTCGGAATTCGGTTCTTACATTGGCGAGTAACAGATCCAAAGGTTTGACTTTCAACTATTTTGTTACTCAAACGATATTTGTTTTCATCAAAGCAAAAGAAACTGAAGTTTTACAAGCATGTAATTAATTAAAAATAGGTAAATTTTTAGATGAATGATGAGACAACAGTATAAATAGAAATTAACTGACAACTACGTAATCGTATACAACTTGAATTCAACACGACTTAAGCTCATCAGTGTTTAAGCTATGTTCGTATTTCCGGTGGAGATAATTGGTTGATTAAAACAGCTTGATTTTCGGGCATGTGTAAGTCCAATTAGCTAACAGCATTTGGTTGGCATAGATTTGGTTGATGCAAACTAAAGGTAAATTATATGAAAACAAGTAAGATTATACTGTTCTGAACGTAATCACGTATGAGACCTACTTACTGATCTCCACGTTATGTGTTGTTTGTAATGGACAAACTTTATATCCAAATAATCAAAATTCTATTGAAGTAAGCTATTTAAGTGAACATATATTTGTTTGTTCATTATCATAAATACTATGTTTGTATCAATTCCACTGGTTTTATTGTATGTTGAATAAACGAACTAGATTATCGAATGGATAAACACTGTTTATCAACATCCACTAATTTCAAAAGAGTGAATGAATCTCAATCTGTATAAACAATGGAAATTATATCACTTGTGTTTGTAGATTATGATAATGTGTCCTCATTCAGTTATGAATCTTAACTACAGAAACTGACTCGAATAGCGACATATAAAGGAGGGTAGTATGACGAACATGCAATACTAACGGTGTGAGTAATACTGTTTACCGAGAAAGAAATACACACACTGCTTTTACTTGTAAAGCAATTTGCAAAACAATTCATTGAATACACCATTAGCACATCTTCCTTGAATTATCTTTTACAGACTTCCTTGTTCTTTCATTCCTGTTATTACTCCAGCTCCTTTTGTTTTTCTTTCCTTGCTACGCATTTTTCACTTCTGTCTGTGAAAATCCTACTTCCAGTTCCAGAAACATTCTACTTATATCTGTCCACGTATGTAGAACACAACACACACCTTATCTGGCTGCATGACCATTTTTCAGTGCTGTTCTACAAATCGAAAGGGAAACCTGTGAAGAGTCATAACCCTGAACATTTAACTGATTGTGATCATTGAACTAACACACATGTTGATTTTATGACCGTTTATGGAATCCTTCCAAATCTACCAGGATCCTCAATACAAAAGAAGCTTTAGTTATCCATTAGAGGAACTCTGAACTTTGTACGCAAATGGAGTATTTCCTATGTCAAATTTTTTATCAAATTATCCATAATTTTATCTCACATTTGTTTCACTTAATCCTTCTAGCAACTTCAACTATAAAAGCAAAATATATCAGATATCCCACTCTACTCTGACTGATCCAACATCAGTTCATTCGCTTTAAGTTTTAGTTTATATTTGTACATTTAATTAAACAGAGTGATGATATTTTCGCTGAAATTTGTAACTCCATATCTCTTACCATTCCATTGTTCAGCCACTCGCATCTTGCAAAATGACTCGGATAGTGTATTGTCAATTGATCCAGTTGATGAAATCCATGGTACGACACTTGCTGTGATGATTTCAGTCGACGTATTCAAAGTGTTTTGATACATGAATGGGTTGATTGAAATCCATGTTTTCCCCAAATCCTTACTCATCATTACACCTCCACCATTTGCTCCCAAACCGAACAATATGCCAAGTGGATTTGTGTACGCTATAATCTGTTCAACAAATGGTCCCATGTCTAGAAATTAAAAGTTAGGTATAATAAGATTTCCATTATTCGTATCAGAGTATTACTGAACAGAATGTTTGACGAATATGTTTCTCGTAAATTCGTACTATGAATATCTTCAATCAGTGAAATTTGAAATAACTTCAATGAACATACAATGTGAAAATCATTTCTTACTGAAGATCTTTTCTACCCCTTTGTTAATTCGATCCTTCAAAAATCTGAATCAATTTGGAAATGTTCTTCATTTATACAACGCTTTAGCTTGCAGAGTTGGATGTTAATGCCTAATATTTTGTATTCATAAATAATATAATTAAATTTCACTCAGATAACATACTAAAAAGAAGACGATTTCTCGTTTTTGTCCGAGTAATATGTCATTACATTAAGCGTTTAGAATTTATGTAATCAGATGCTGAATTCGTAGACAATTTTGTAACATTCGAATGTTCGCTAGAGCCTCATGTGATGTTTAGTAATCATTGTGGATGGTGAAATAGTGTTTGTTCATTAATAACCAAATAACAAGTTTGAAAAGTCTAAGTATGTATGTTCCTAACAAAATCAATATCCGTATGATTGTTTACTTCGAACTTTGGTTAGAATAAAATAGTTCGCATATCCAGTATATTCAACATTAGCTAACACAAGAAGCACCACAGAAGCAATAAATGGTTTTCTATTTAGAAAGGTCGATTTTTTTTATTCTAACAAAGAAACATCCTTCAATTTATTTGTCTCAATCATCTTGAGATGCTAAAACATCCTTAGATAATCGAGAAGGTAATATATTTCGATTCTAACCCACTAAAACACACAAAGATAGATTAGATGTTATTTATTATTTGTTAATTTATTAATGAATGAAGGCTAACATTATGGTGAAAACGATAATGTAATACTCACAACTTGGAGAAATTCAATTCGTCAAGCTTCGACTTGTAATGTATTTCTGTCGAAATGAATATTATTGCAACGAATCCCTGAATAAACTTAGTCTTTCAACTATAAATAATAGCATTCGACTGACAACAAAACTGAAATTTCTATGATAACTTACCGATCCATATTCTGTCAGGTAATTTGCTAATCATGAAGCAACGTTTCTCCAAATCGAATGACCCCTTCATATTAAATACGCGTCCACAATAAAACAGACGATCACGAACATTTAAGAATGTATCTGACTGACGACTAGGCAACGGCACAGCAGGATTCCGCAATGCCTTGTAATGAGGTAAATCACATGGATCTGAATACAGAACTTAACATCAAGACTAATGATTATCATCTACCACAGCATCATAATTTGGCACTTGTTACTGGTCCATTTCATATGAATAACATTATATGCGTGAACCGTTTTTCTCGAAGATGAAACAAAAGGATACTCAATAACATTCATTAACATATGATGGTCCTGTAACATGTCCAAACCTACTCACTCAAAAAAGTATGTGTACATCATCCTATAGTTCGGTGATGGATGGTAAATTTATTTAGAATCCACCTTTGTATTGTTTCATGGAAGTTCTCAAGTGCGTCTATCCAAACATGAGAAACTTAAATCTACCTTCCTCCCTCCCTTAACTGTTCAAAAACAGGCTGCTGTACCTACATTAAACCTACCATAAAAAGATCAGTTTAGATTTACTTTCCAAAGTAGCATGACTATTGTCTTGTTCTATTATCTCGGTTGTTTTATATACCTTTCCTCCAATTAAAAAGGCAATTTACGATTAAATAGTTAAGAACGTTGTAGCTGACTGACTGACTGAGTTAAGAATGTATTGTGCTAATAATATTGTAGACTTCTAAATAAAAAATTAATGGATTCTGATGTGTATATTTTATTCAGACTTTATTACTATTGATTTTCCAAGTTGGTCGGTATCATGTACTTAATTACGCCTGTTACTCCTCGTGGAGGAGCATAGGCCGCCCACCAACACTCTCCATCCAACCCTGTCCTGGGCGGTCTTATCCAGCTCTTCCCAGTTGTTATTCATCTTTTCATATCTGCTTCTATTTCCCGACATAATATATTCTTTAACTTTCCATTATCCGCTTCCCTACAGGATTACAAGTTAGGGCTTGCCTCGCGATGCAGTTTGGTGATTTTCGCAATGTACGTCCTATCCATTCCCATCGTCTTTTCCTAATTTCTTCTCCAGCTGGACGCTGGTTTGTTCTCTCCCACAAAAGGCTGTTGCTGATGGTATCCGGTTAATGGATGTTGAGTATCTTGCGTGGTACCATGTGCTTGAGAGTTATGCAACTAACGTTACGCCATAATAACATTCATTATTGAGACTGGTCATCATTAACATAAATGCACGATGATTGTAGATTAGCAATCTTGTTTCAAACTCTGAGCTGCAAAGTAGTTGACTGTATGAAGAATATCCAGAATGTCAATCACTATTCAATTTATAGATGGATAGACTGGGAATCAATGACCAGAATTAACGATTGCCCCGGTTGTCAGAAGGGATATCAGCCTCGTGGCTTCCGAAGGAACTCGAATTTATTCATGATACATCAAAACTCTCCTTAATGAAGAGCTTCTTACTCCCAGGACAGAGTTTACATGGTTCGAAATATTTCTTCTGGTTAGCTTTGTTTTGGCGAGTTAGTTTTCTACGGGATGGTGTTGCTAACCCTATGCCCAACCCTCCTCCTTCATCCGGGCTTGTTACCGGCAGTAGCCCAAGAGGGGCTCTATGCAGAGGATGTTAAAAACTTTATAAACTTGGACTAGTTCGGAGTAAACACCGGTGTCATGCAAGGTTGTTTACTCTCACCCTTACTCCTTCTCCTTTTGATCGACTGGATTATGAAGATGTCAGCATCTGGGGGACAGCACGGGATACAGTGGATATCTAGGATGCAGCTGGAAGATCTAGACTTCTCAGATGATCTGGCTCTTCTGTAGCACACGCAACAACAAATGCAGGAGAAGGCGACCAGTGAAGCCGCAGCCTCAGCAGGAGTAGATCTCAACATACAAAAAGTTAAAAGCAACACAACAAGTATCAATCAATTCACACTTGACGGAGAAGTTTGTAGGATGCAAAAACCTTTATATACTTGGACAGCATCATTGATGAGCATTGTGGATCTGATGCAGATGTGAAGGCGCGGATCGGCAAGCAAGAGCATCATATTACAACTGAAGAACATCTAGAACCCGAAACAACTGTCAACCAACAACAAGGTCAGAGTTTTCAATACAAATGTCAAGACAGTTCTAATGTATGGAGCGGAAACTTGGAGAACTGCGAAAGTCGTCATCCAGAAGATACAAGTGTTTATTGATGGTTGTCTACGTGGGACTGGTTGGCTGACGAGCGATTGTAGGACGGATCGCAGAGGCAGTGATGGAAAGACTAGAAGCCAAGATATTACCAGTGATCAAACCAAAAATTTGGATTCGCTACGTAGACGACACCTTTGTCATCGTCAAAAAGGATGAACTGGAAAACACATACAAACTGATCAACAACGTTTTCAACGACATGAAGTTTACAATGGAACAGGAGTCAAACAACCAACTAGCATTCTTGGATATATTGATCACTAGAACTGACACAGGAAAACTGGAAACTCAAGTATATAGGAAACCGACCCATACAGATCAAATCCTCAACTACAACAGCAACAACCCAAGAGCTCACAAAATCAACTGCGTACACAATTTGTTCAAGAGGGCGAGAACACACTGCAGCACACTGGCAGCACGAAAAAATGAAGAGAAATACCTGAAGGACATATTTCAAAAGAACGGCTACCCAATCAACTTCATCAAAAAGCACCAACAGCACACAGCATCAGAACCCAAATCAACAAAAGGATCACTCTACCGTACATACAAGGAATATCAGAAACCGCAACGAGACTGCTGAAAACCTTCGGGATAAGTGTGGCACACAAACCAACAAAATCACTACAATCAATCCTATGCAAACCAAAAGATGAAATAACAAAGGAAAACAAATCAAACATCATCTACAAAATAAATTGTACCAACTGCGACAAACACTACATCGGACAAAGCGGACGCCCCCTCCACCTACGCCTACATCAACATCAATTAGCAGTCAAACGCCATGATATCTCTTCACTTATATCAATACACGTGGATTACTACGGACACTCATTCGATTGGGAAAATGTAGAAATCTTAGACAGAGGAAACTCCAAAAACACCAGAGAATTTTTAGAAGCTTGGCACTCAGGTCAATCAGCAATCAACAAACATATTGAAATCAATCCAATTTATCAACGAATCAGGAAAATCATGCATAAATATAGGAACAAAAATCAAACCAATGGGAGACACAACCAAAACAAATAAGTAAACAATGATCAATTTAAGGTCAACAAGAACCAATCAACATCGAGGTGCACAGAACAAGCTGTGAAACGCATATGGAGAAATTCGAACACTTCACTTCTATCTGAAGTTTGTGCTGATGATGTCGTTCAGAAGAACGATGAAAGCTCCACGACCAAACCATCCAGCTCAGAGAACAAAACTCCACCCAAATCATCCACCTGAGCTACAAATCTTCTCCACTTTATGATGCGTCCCCATACACTGCCTCGCTGACTAGCTCTCGGAAGATTATAGCGCCATTAACAACCTCTCTCTAAAAGGGCATTTGCTATCTTATTCTAGTTCCAAATACACATGGTCTGTCTAAGAATAGCATTGGCTCCCGTAAAGCTATCAGATGCACCCTTACTCTTATTCACAACTAGTACAAGAGCGCTTTTCTCAACACCATCCTCGATACCACGGCGAATATGTGCTGCCTGCTTCTTCAGGGTCTTAGTTACTGGCTTCTTTGTTACAGTGACTTTCTGCCTTTTCGTAGTCTTGACTTTCAGTTTGGTGTCCTTCTTTTCCTTAGGCTTTCTTAGAGTTGATTTGGGTTTATTAGCAGATGGTGCTTCAGTTTTTGGCTTAAAAACCTTGGATTTAGTTTATATAAAGGAACAATGAACTTGACGAGAGACATTTTCGGAACGAGCATACTCCGCAACACCATATGCAGATTCTGAGGCATCGGCAGAGCAATGGATCTGACTAGCCAGTGGTTTGTACGATTCTGGTAAAGCTATACAATCTTCCACAAACATCGATGAAGTATGACTAAATGGGTCTTTGAATTCAGTTTGACATTCTCATATACTCTCGGAAAACATATACCTTTTAAATAGGACCAGGATATAATTTGATGTGCCGTTGTTACAGTCCTGTAAACTGCCGGTAGTTTTGTGACTGTCAATACTTTCTGAACCTTCACAGATGACGAAAAATGTTTTACTTTAAGTAATAATTTTTCTAGTAGATATCTGACTGGCCATTTCAAGTCTGAAATGTTGGTTATCTAACTCACAATGATGCTACATTTTGAAATGTAAATGACACTTCATTTTCGAATAATTGGAAAACTTTAATATACAACTACAAAGACCAACCAATTATTCATTTTAGAAAACTTATGTGAAGTTATTTCCCAAAATAGAATTCAGTTCATGTGAGAACTTAAAAAAACTGTTTGCGAATCTTGAATAAATTTCTTCCAAATGACTTGAATGTTACCAAAGATTGGAAACAAATCACAACAATCGGAAGCAAACTATTTCTGCTTGTCAAGTAATTCAATGCCTTACGTTCCTTTCGTTTAATACAGTTTACGTTTACCATTTTCGAATCTGTGAAATTTTGTGATTTAACTTCAATATGCAACAAAACACATAAGCTTACTATGAACTGAACCGATTTGGATACTGGATTTAAAGCAGTTTTCAATTTTATATCATCTGTATTCCCCGTTTTATTAAATAAGTCAATTGACTGTATCTGCGGACTGAGATAGAATATTATTGACTGTCTTTCGCATTCCAATCCGGTACCGTTCATCATTTGAACCAGAGTTTGAAGATAAACTTCATCCCTGTGTACAGCATTAGAAATAAACAATTTGAAAATAAAGTATTGAAACAAGCTACCTTGGTCATAAAATGTGGTAGTAATTGTACTACAAAATAGATAATGTAAAACATCATATTGACTGAGTATTGTGCACAGTTGTTTTTAAGGATCGATTTAGAGGTCTAAAATGACTAAGTATTCATCAAATAATTTGGATTACACTCCACACTACATTAGGTCACAAATTCACACTTTTACTGCGACCAGTGAAGTCCAGTGCATGTCGGATGTGAGGAAAGTACTCATCA